AAAAAAAATGTTAAATATCGCATAAATAAATATAAAAAATATTTTTTAAATATTAAACCTCAATTATCTTTGAAATCTGACTTACTAGAATTTTTTCGCTTGTGACATCGTTTTTTGCATCCAAAAATCTATAAAACAAGGATCTATAAGACACACGTAGTCTGGTCCATAGTAATTAAAAAAAAAATTGTGTATACTAGTGTGACGACTGTACAAATTTCACTCTCACATTTTTTTGCTACACCGCACTTTTTTGTACAACATGCCGTGAACGAGTTCCCGATAGCCAAAGGAACTGCTTAGGAGGTAGCACTTTAAAATAACGATGCGACAACTGAGAAACCAAAAGAAAACTGCGAAAATCTGTCTTGTATGCGCAAACCAAATGAGTTGAACTACTCTCATCTAATGCTGACTGTTTTAACTCCATCATGTACAATAGGTTGTAGTTAGAATCATGCCGACTGCTCAAACCTTCTTTTTTTTTCGATAGGGAAATTTTCCAAAGACCACCGGGCGAACCATCTCCGAGAAGTGTTGGATTTATCGTCCGGCGAGCAAACCTAACCGCCTGCAATGGCGACAGGCCGTCCTGCACGGCGACTATCAACTAAAACCCCACCGCCATCATCCTAACGGGGGGGGGGGGGGGGGGGAGTATTACAGGCCCTTTCCCATCGGCATTAGTCCGGTAAAGCCGCACCACGGCTCAACCACGCCGAAGGAAGTGGACCCCCGGCTCCGTCACACAGGGCATGCTAAAACCTTCATTGGAAGAGGGCAGTCCGGAGCCAGAGAGCACCAGGAGGCAGCGAGCATAGCCCGCCTTCCCCAGCTACTCTGTAGCCCCCGAAGGAACCCCCCATATCGAGAGGAAGACATAGTTGTGGACGCGATCCGACGAGTGGACCTCCTCGTCAGTTAGCCGGAGCGGTTTCAGCACCACCCTCGGCTGCGACACTTGGCCCCGCTCTGACTTCCGTCCGGCTCTTTTTCAAAGCCGGATCCTCCGGCGAATTGTCGGAGGGCCTGGGAGAGAGAGGAGACATGGAAACGGTGTCCCCGTCCCCTCTAACCACCGCCGAAGTCTCGCCCCCGGACCTGAGAGAAGAGGACGCCCTGGCGCAAACCCTTAAGGGCTAAGACGCGATCGGCTTGCAAGCCCTTAACCCGGACCTGTGTCCGCACTGCAGGCCCCGCTTCGCACAAAGTGGACACCGAGGTCGCTGCCGGCACGCCCGCGACGCGTGACCGGCCTCTCCGCAATTAAAGCAGCAACGTCGTCTATCCACTGTGGACGAACACCGCTGCTATATGTGGCCCTGGCACCGGAAGCACCTGAGGGGCGGACCTCTCAGCATCTCCACCCGTGCTCTGGCCCAACCCAATTTAAGATGGCCCTGCCATCTTCTCGATCAGGGTCCCGGCCTCCGCGGGGCACCAGACGCACACAGAACCGAGACCCCTTCGTGTGAATCGCAATTCTCCTACCCTGATTCGTACGGACGAACACAGCCCATCGAGGGCCACCGCCGTATGCACCTCGGCCTGAGTCACGGATTTGTCGAAGCCTGTGACTCTAAGCTCCATCATCCGCTGCGGCCGCGAGATAACGACGCTCTCTTCCGCGACGAACAGATCTCGCATCTCCTCGAACAGCCTTCCCGCCGTCACGCTCTCGGCACCGAGGATCTCCAACAGAAAACCCCCGCTAACCGAGCGCTTCGGCCTAACCTCTTTGATGCCGAGGTTCTGCACGGAGATACTCTCGCGAGCCCTCCGCATCACCTCGGAATATCCAATACCCTCGCCAGTAACGGTCACGGCCATCGCGGATGAGCGCGGCCGACGACCACCCACGGGTTTTCTAGACTTCGCGGCCCTATTGGCTCCCGCTCCTGAAGCGGCAGGGGTGGCAGGCGCCGCAGAGAAATCGGACGCCGCGGCAGCGCGACGCCCCGCACGAGACGCAACAGGGGCGCGTGCCGCGGCGGCAACCACCTCGGTGGAAGTGCGCGCCACAGCGGGGGCTGCACCGGGGACCGACCGCCCAGCGCCACCCCCGCGCGCAGTCTAATCACCTTTCTTCTTCTTCGCATTCTTCTTCCCCTCCTTTAGAATGACCCGAAGAGCCCGTCATCGTGGAGAGAGCCCCTTGCACCGGTAATCACGAGAGTCCCAACCGCTGAAGATGAACCACGGCGGGCCGCACGACCCCCGCGCGCCACATCAGACCTGAGCGGGGGAGGGCACGGCGAGTCGAAGGGCCCACGTAGCCCTTCTCCACGCCTTGCGCCCCGGATGACCACCCCCGGAGTAGAGTCCTATAGCGTTTTCTCTTGGCTGTACCAGTGCAACACTCAGACAGTAAGTCTGTTCTTTATTGCTGAACTTTTGCACTAGTTCATCTTTCTTCCTTTTCTCTCCAGGAGAAGGGAAAAGGAAAAAAAGATGAACTGGTGCAATCACCCTACACTAGTGCAGCCAAGAGAAAACGCTACTAGATATCAGAGAAGCGCAACCGGCTTAAGTCAGTATCGCAAAATTACTAAAAAAAGTATTAAAAATGGCATTTGCAGACGAACTATGAAATCCACCAATCGTCTATTAGTCAGCTATTTTTAATACCAATAAATGAATGTCATGATTGGCTAAGACAGTCACGCCAATCAGGACGCGGAACATCGGTTACGCTTCTCTGATATCTAGGACTCTACCCCGGAGCAGGATTTCCAAATGACTCTGAATTATTATCGCCATCTATGAAGCTTTTAATAGCCAAAAATCGCCATTTTTATTAGTGAATTTTTGCCATAATATCGCCATCTGCGGAGCTTCTTGTAAGCAACAATCATCATTTTGTAGATGAATTTTGGCCATAACATCGCTTTAAAAAAAAAATTTGTTATTCTTATCAAGAAAATCGTTAGATTTTAGAAACTTTTATTTAAATTGTAGGCACATATTTTCGTTATTAGTATGTAAGTCAGTTATCGTTCTAAGAAGAACGTTCGAGAAGCTTCTTGCGCGAGCTTGTCGCTACCGGAAATTTCCGTAGCAGAAGTAACCGACACGCGGATTTCCGAAGCCGCTAGGATTGGTTATCGGGAATCGTCAGATAGTGCCTGATTGGGCAAAAGGGCATTGACCCCACCGCGCTAACATCGCTCGATCCTTGCGAGCATCACGGCGCTCGCCAGTCGCTGTTTAGCTATCCTAACAAGCAGGACTCATATAACCTCGTTATATTATATTAATAAAGGTTGTCGGGCAAGACTTTACTCATTTGTGAGTTTATTATTGTTCCCGATAACCACCCACAAAATGTTATTAGATTGTGATAGGCAGCAATCATATAACTTCTTCCTGAAGTGAAAACGTGAAAAGTAAAAATGTTTATGTATATATGTAATATGTATTTACAGTATACATACACACACGCACGCACATAAATTTCACTTCACGTTTCCTCACTAGGAAAAGAGTTATATGATCGCTATCCTGGAAGATTACTTTATGGTAGGTTTTTTAAAAATTAAAATCATGAGTTGGTTATCTATTAAAATTGATGTTTATAATTTTTTTTATATAAAAATTTAATATTTTTCGACGGTACATATATAACAATTACAAAATAAAATTATAACATGAAATATATTTCACATAGAACAAATCTTATAGAAAATATATTATGTTATGTCTTTACTATACGCGAAGGATATGATGAGAGGGATCCGCAATGATTATGGATCGAATGACTGTTAAAATACTGACTCTTTATTATTAGGCACAGAAAGTACAAAAGCATGCCTGTTAGCAACCGACATGATGATGATATCTTAAAGACAGCATTTCCATGCTGATGAAATAAGCGCCACCTATATCGACTGCGCTCTTATACATAATATTTCCTCCCTTTCTTCTATCGTAGAAAATTCTTCATGGTATCTCTAACTCGGAGTGTAGCGTTCGGGTGGTCGTCGCTGACGTGTAGGTCGTCGCGGTGTTTCAGCTACAGCCCGTTCTTACGGACGATGTCCTGGCGATGTCGCAGGAGGAGTTGGGGCTCCTGGTGGATAAAATGGCTGCTGTAGCGGTTCTTCCGTGGGTACTGGAGGTACATGGATCGGCCCTGGTTCTGCCTCGTAGAATCGAATTCGTCGGGGTTAGAGAACCTCTAGTAGAGAGAATCGCCAACTTGGTCATGTGACCAATTACGTGATTGGCTGGAGGAAATGAGCAGATTTGAGCATCACTACGCCAATGCATTGACGTCAGAACACATAGCGGCCCTATCGTTCGTGAATATGTGCGCAGTGTAAAGTCTAGACGGGACGAGATTTAATATTTACGTCCCAGTTAAATGGTCCGGGCATGCCGTCGGGGTACATGGAGACACTGCTGAAGCTCAGTCTGCCACCAGGGACGCTCTAAATCTCGTCGTATAAGGTTAATGATCGTTGATCGACTAGTTGATCGTGTTAGTAAATCATGTTTTAATATTTTTTAAATTTGTTATAAATTTAACGAAATATTAGTGTTTATTAGCAAAAATTATAAGTAAACTTTTATTACATAAGAGATGTACATTTAGGTGTTAAAGTTTATGGATGTTTATTTGGTAACATGAAATTCTTAATCAAGTACAATTTGTACATTACAAACAACATGATATTTCGTATATTACAGGTAGCGTTCACTATGCCATCGAGTTGCTCTGCGTACAATTGTTTCAACACGAGTGCTCAAGGCTATGCACTGGTCAGATACCCACATGATGAGACCTTGAAGAGAAAATGGATTGCTGCCGTTGGAAGAGGCAAGAACTGGTCACCTGATTGTCAAAGACTTTGCGAGGTTAGTAGCAATGTGCAGTATGCGCTTTGATTTTGTACTTCAGAAGATAAACATGCAATAATTTATAATATATTGTTAGATTCACAGCATATATTTATGATTTTTTTCTCTGTAGGTACACTTCGACCCGTCGGAAATCGAATTTATTGCTGGAGATTCGTGAAATTGTCTGCAAACACCAAGATGTCATCGAAAAAATTGAGAGTATTGGGAATATCTTGTAATACTGTTTCCATCCGCCGCTGCCATATTGCCGGGATATTCGCTGCGCCATAAACAGCACGCGTTGGTCTAATTAATCCGTACATAGGTGTGTTCAATGTTAGCGCGTGACTAAATTCTTCATCAATTACTAGATGTGTATATGCATCTGTTATGTCTATGTGACAAAATAATGTAGATCCCTTCATGCGGTGAAAAATATGCTCGGCCTTCGGGATTGGATGTTCATCGATGACCATTCGTGGATTCAAGGTTGGCTTATAATTGCCCGTAATTCTCATTTTCCCATTCTTTTTCATAACAATGTGGATAGTCGAAGCCCATTCAGAATGTTCGACTCGTTTGTAGAAACCTGAGGCGAGCTTGCTGTCTATCTCTTTGGCGTACGTTCCACGTAAAGCTACAGGTATCTCACGAGCTCGAGCGAATATCGGTGTAACGTCTGGTTTAAGATGTACCAATACCGGCGGGCCAACTAGTTTCCCAGGTTGTTCGCTAAATATATCGTCGTATCGTTGCAATAACGTATTAAGACGTTTAGTTTCGTCCACCGTCAGTGGTTGAACCGTAGGAGTGATGAGACTATTTAATTTCTCTGCGGTTGTAAATAGTTTTTCAAAATCGATCTCGTGAACAAATTGAGAAATCCATTCTCTCCCAAAGAGTATATCATTATTACCGTCGACCACATATAGATTGAGTTTCCTCATGGTGCTCCCCAGCGTTACATTTACTGGAATGTATCCTATACATTTAAGATGATGGTGCGTGTAACTCACGAATTGAAGGTCTGTATCATTAAGCGTTTGATGAAGTTTGATCTCTTGCAATTTAGCTTTACTAATAATTCCACATGATGCTCCGCTGTCTAGTTCCATTTGAAGGCTACGGCCCTCGATAAGTACCGTTACAAACTGTCGTCCGACCGTATTGATGGCATTATTCTGCTTGAGGCTGTTTAGACGCTGTATTACATCTACTTTTTCAGCTGGTTGCTCTGTCGCTACTATCTGACTTGTAGTTTGCTCCTTTGATTTACAGACTTTTGCAATGTGACCTTTTTTCTTGCAACTGTGACATTCTGCGTCACGGAACTTACAATCCTTGCGTGCATGCGAGCCTCCGCATCCGTTACAAGTGTGCGTATTTCGACTCGGTTTCGCATCATTACGAGTAGCGCTCTGTGTATGCTGTCGTGGTCTGTTCCTTGACGAGAATCTACAACGAGAAAATTCTTTAGCTTTCTTTATTCGAGGTTGTGATGCGCATCTTAATAAGTTAGTCGATTCTGCATTAGACGAAATAGTATTCTTAACCTCATCCCCCGTATGGCGTGTCGATTCTAACGTATGCGCGATTTCGTACGCTTTGGTAAATGTAATGGGTTTCTTCGTGATTATTTCGTCGCATATTTCACGCGATTGAAGTCCATGTAGCATTTGTTCGATAAGCATTTTATCGAGAAAGACACCGTAATCGCAATGGACCGCTCCTTGTCGAAGACGCAGAGAAAAACTGGCGACTGATTCGCCCTTTTGTTGAGAAATATGGCGAAATTTAACGCTTTCCGCATATTTGTTCTTAACGCGATCAAAATGGTTGATAAGGGTCTCTTTAATGTCGACGTTGTTCGGGTAAACGCGGATTGACCAGAAATTTGAGAGCGTTATTCAACTCCGCACCCACGCGAGCATAATTTGCAAACTGTTCTATTGGTATTGTACTTAACTGAAGCGCCCAGTCAAAACGCTTAAAGTAATCGGCAACCGTTGTCGATTCCGTCGATCGGTATTCCGGTATAGCAAATTACGGTGGTCTCGGTTGCACCGTCGTTCTCGCTGTATCCGATGAAGCATTTGCGGCTGCTGCATGTATCGCCGATGTCTGGATCGCGAGCAAAGACGTCGTTGCCTGAATTAATTCCGGTGGCACTTCCATCGTTTCTGTTGTTTTTGCTTCTTTCCTAACCTATACGGTCTCGATCCTTTCCGTATATTGAGCGTGAGAGGCTCAATCACTTCTGATACAACCCCACACCTGGCACCACTGTTATGTCTTTACTATACGCGAAGGATATGATGAGAAAGATCCGCAATGATTATGGATCGAATGACTGTTAAAATACTGACTCTTTATTATTAGGCACAGAAAGTACAAAAGCATGCCCGTTAGCAACCGACATGATGATGATATCTTAAGGACAGCATTTCCATGCTGGTGAAATAAGCGCCACCTATATCGACTGCGCTCTTATACAGAATATATTATATAACGGATTCGTACAATAAAATAAATAGGAAATAGAGAACAGAGAATAAGAATTTCAACCTATCAAAAATCATATACTGTGGAATAAATAGTGTGTATCCCATAGTACCATAGGCACGGTTCTTTCTCAAGTAGTTCGCGCCGCGAACTTCGCGGTCGCTCGCGACAACTCGAGGTCCGATTTAAGACGGACGATCTCTTCACGGAGTCTCGCTGTCTCCTGATCGAGCGCAGCGGCCCGATCGGCGTCAAAGGCCACGATGTCGCTAAGCCCCATGGCTCGATTGGCGAGAAGGAGGGAAACCTCCCTCGCCAAGTAAAGCGCCATCTTAAGCTGTCCACTAAGGGGACCTTCATCGAAAAGATTGACCTCACATGGGCAGCCTCGCCTTCCGCCAGTCAATCATCTAGCATCTGCGCCATCTCGATGGTGGACGCACGATTCAGGGAGGCTATTTGGCGGTCAACTTCCCTCCGCTGCCCCAGGGTAAAGAAGGAGGAGGACGGGATATGCACACTTCGCAGAGGCCGGTCGTCCTCCCCTTCGTCCTCGGAGTTCCGCATAACGCAGCGGGACCGAAACCTCTCCATCGAGACGCCACGCACTCTCGTTGTGATACTGGCGTCCGACCCTAACGAGGGAGACCTGAACGGCCCGGTGCCATCTAACCAGGGCCTCCCCCGAGCCCTCTTACGTTTCGACGACAAGACAGAAGGTCTCATCGCCAAAGTCTTTTATATTGTTATGATACGTCCCGTCGACGCATCACTCGAGCACGTTCGTGAAAATAAAAAGAACTCGCAAATTAGAATGAACAAGAATGTTTATTGCAATAACAAGGAACACAACGAGAAACGATATATAATTTGAGATGAGAGAGATCACGTCCGCGCGCGAAGACAGCTCTCAGCGAAATCTGTCAAACAACCGCGATCTCGTTGCTTGGCAACGCGATCTTCCTTTTCCAGGGACAGCGAATTCCGGCGCTTAACGGGTGTCGAGACGATATGGGCGTAACAATATGTAGCGTTTCAGAAATGAGTCTTTTATTGTATCTTGATTACCCGAGTCTAATATTTTTACGTGATTTCAATCAAAATTATGGTTAACGTTAGTACCGAATGTTTAGACACATCTAAGTTTTTGTTTTTAATATGTTCATTTAATCTCGTATTGAGTCTTCTCTTCGTTTACCCCACATATGATACATCGCAATTTTTACATTGTATCTTATAGACTAAGTTGTTGTTATCATATAAACTTTTTTCATCTTTGTGTAATGAATTTGTTTAATTTGTTTTCTTCACGCGTGCACGTAATGTGCCCTACACCTCGCTTCACTCGTGCCGTCGCGCCCGTCCCCACAATAAACAACATTCCCTCACGGTTACACAATATACTATTTCCTCACGCGTGCACGTAATGTGCCCTATACCGCAACGATTTTGCGTGAGGTAAATAGCCAATACCTCAAGCCGTTGAGTTATTTCTCCAACCCCACGTAAAAGCGTTACATTGTGAAAAATAACGCAAGGCAGTGATAGCGCTCGTACAAATAGATATTAACATGGAGAAACGCGCCGACCGAGCGTCCTTTCGGAGCATCTGGGGGGGGGGGGGGGAAGTTTTTTCCAATAATAAAAGTAACTACGACAAAACGACAATACAGTATCTATAAATATCATTCAACTTACAATAACGTTTAAATTTAATTTCAAATTGTAATAATCTCACAATTATAATTGAAAGTAATGAGCAATACAAAATTTTGTATTGTTAAATATTTATTTACGAAATATTTTAATTTATTTTTTGGGGGCGCAGCCCCCCCCCCCCGAACCCCCTCTGCTTCCTGCTCCCCACGCACCACCCCATAAGTCGCATTCACTTCGCTTGTGCGACTTTAGATTCGCATTGCTCCGCTCATGCGACTTTATAATTATATAACATATTACTAACACAGTGCATTCGTAATGAAAAATTCTATGTGCAATTCATGTGCTATAATTGTCTATAGCGCGACACGAGCGCGGGTGCGCAGCGCGCCCGCATCGCACAATAAACAACTATAAATATACACTTGTTACACAATGTACTGTTATACATTTGTATCCAATTGTGTAAACCGATTTACTGATCATTTTCGTAATTGATTGTGTGACTCCGCGGATAAATGGAAAAACAATTTTTTTGCCGATTTTTTATCTTTATCTTGTTCTTTGTTACTGTTAGGGGCTACGCAGAATAAAAGGAACAGGGAACAGAGAACAGAGAATAAGAATTTCAACCTATCAGAAATCATATACTGTGGAATAAATAGTGTGTATTGATAAGTGTATCTGATAAGTTGAAATTCTTATTCTCTGTTCCCTGTTCCTTTTATTTTGCGCAGCCCCTTAGGGATAATTTCCACAGTCGATAAGTCACTATTAAGTTATTCCTACGCGACGCTGCGGTGATAAAATAAAAGAGAGCTAGAGAAACAAAAAAGATAACAGAGTTCGTGCATTAAAAAAGGTTTTAGAAGCTCTCGTTTATCGTTGCATGTTGCGTTCGATAATTCATGAAGATACTGTTTTTTACACTGACGATTTACGCTAGTTTGATTCTTTGTAATTCGTATAATAAAGCTCTGTGTTCTATTCAAACAATTGTCCGTTCCTTGGACGCAATATCACTGAAAGCCTACAGTTACTATTGTTATTAGTAGAATTGTTTAAAAGTAAGTTTCATTTGGTATTGTATATTAACCTTCAGTTTGATATTGTAATGATAAGGACATCAATTTATTGACATCTTAGTTTTATAGAAATAGCGTTGAATGTATTGTTGGATTTATAATTATTGTATATAAAGGGTTTGTCAAATGTTCATATTATTTACGGCTGATAAAGACTTATTGTTAGTAAAGTCGAAACGTTCCGTTTAGTAAATTGTAATGATATTATAGTATAAATTAAAAACTTATATATTAGCTCGTTTAATAAAACTTTGACCTGGGTGGCGACGTATTGAATTGATTGTTGTGACATTCCATCATTATATGATGCCATATTAACTTTACTTTTGATGTCGTTTAATTATATACTAATTCATACGATTGCGTTTATTAACCTCAATTTTATCTTAATTACTTGAGCTTACAATAAGCTTTATTTTGTTCTGTTTTTGTTATTTTTACATTTTCTTCTTACTCTTTATGTTTATAAACAAATATTTAAATCGTACAGACTTGTACAATAGAAAAGATCCGTCCTACTCCGTTTATTTCCGTCTTTTCTGTTGATATTCTAGCGTTAGGTGATCGTCAGGAAGCTATTTGAGCAACTTTAACGTCGCTTACTCCGCAGCCTACGACCAGCACGTACAAGCACTCTTGCCCAGTATTCGGGAACTAAGGTGCTCCTTCGCAAATCCGTCTGGCCATCCACAGCGGGCAACGGGCTGAATACCAATTTCCAATTTGTCCGGGCATATCGGCCGGACGCTCAAGAGCGTGACACAAATGCCAGATGCAATCAACGGATTGCGAAGGAAAGCGCACTTCAGCGCAATCCCTGTATTAATCCACGATCAAGTGCAGTTACGCTACTCCTTGAATAACTCCTCTATCCAATCGATGAGAAGGTTTGTTTATTGCAGCTTATGGTATCCTTTCCACATCTCGAGATTCTGTGTCTACAGATTTATTTCTAACTTTTTTGTACGTATAATGTTGCGTTCTTTATCGCTAAAAAAAGATAATATGATTTTAAGATACTCTATATATTTATAAACATGTAGAAATACTTATAATTTTTATTTTATTTAAATTTATTTTAATGCATTGAAACCATATTGTTTGGCCAAAATAATTCGTTTATTTGGATCAATATGTTTGAAATAACATTTTATTTTATGACACTTAATATTATTTTAAGAAATAAAACGTTTTCTTTACATAAAATTAATATAAATGTGTTTGATTGAAATAAGTGTGTTATTCTTTACAATTAATTTATTGTTTGAAGTTACCACTGCAAGCTTTAATTTAAATGATTCATTTTTAACATTCAATCACTCGTTGGCATCATCGCGGTTTTAGTGCGCAATAAGTTCTTCGCATTGTACTTCAGTTGTTCAGTTAGCCCATGGACCTAAGAATCTATGGACGGGGCGTAAAGTGAGATCGTAGGTAAGGGGGTTGACAACTTTGCGGTAAGGGGAGTGAGTGCGCTTTCCTTTTTTATCCGTTTAACATCTCTTTCTACAAGAAGACCCAACGGCTAGGTAACGAAATTAACCGAAGACGTCCGAACGGTCCAAAGGTACATATATACTCGAAAAAGAGCATTTTGAGGTTTGCGTCTCCGTGAAAAAAGACAATGCCGACCTGTATAATTTCGGGCTGTGATAATCGGACTGATCCGAAAAAGAAATGCAACGCGCAAATGGAATTAGAAAATGAAGGTTAGTGAATATCTAGTCTTTCGAGAATCATCGGGTGTACGACGGAAACACCCGATGGGGTCCTATCTTACAATTAGAAAGAGATAGCGCTACACTCCCCTTACCGCGGATTAACCACCCGAACTGCCTAGTGCCCCGTCCATAGATTCTTAGGTCCATGATTTAGCTATATTGTCAGTCATTACTAACGTATAGGCAAGTTCCGAAGAACAACTCAACC